TGTCGCATGTAGTTCAAGGAGAATAGTAAAATGATGAGTTACAGAGTTATGTGAGGTTCCGTCGAGGCTCCGGTCCGTGGTCCTGTTATTACATCAAGATCAAAAGAAACTAAACAAGCCTATCAGCTATCAGTTACAAGATTCATATCTATAAGTCTTCTAAAACATGATCTTGAATCTTGATTGGTTCTTCACGCAGACTCTCATCTGAACCTTGATGCTATCTAACTACAAGTGGTAGTTCATTCTTCTACGGCTTCTTCTGATCAAAAAGACAAATGTAAAGCTCGTAACTTCAGTCGTCTTGAGCAGTTCATATCTTTTCCATCTGCATCTGCATTTGGATTTACTTCTCTTCTTTTTCTTTTCTTTATTTTGGATTGAGACTTCTTCTTTTGGTCATCTCAAACCATATGCCTCGAGGTAAAACCTACTCAGATACCAAAACAAACAGACGAATGAAATTTTTCTGCCCCAATTTTCACTAGGAAAATTTCGTGAGTTATTATAACAAAATTCTAAACTACTTCTTTATTGAAAGCAAATAAAAGGTGAGGAATGGTATACCCTGAAAAAGATCGTGATGATTTTTTTTATTGGTGTTCCTTTGTTGTGAAAAAAATGTCTCAACTACGGATTGGTGTACCTTATGTTGAGAAAATATGGTCAGGGAGTGGTGTACCCTATATTGGCAATGATATGAGGGAGTGGTGTACCCTGCATTTAAGATCAAATCAATTAGGGAGTGAAGACCCTATGTTGGAAAAGGAGACTAGGGAATGGAGACTCTATGTCTAAAATAAAATCAATTAGGGAGTGAAGACCCTATGTTGGAAAAGAGACGAGGGAGTGGAGACCCTATGTCTAAAATAACTTCAACTAGGGAGTGGAGACCCTATGCTGGAAAAAGAGACTAGGGAGTAGAGACCATGTGTCTAAAAAATAAAATCAACTAGTGAGTGGAGACCCTATGTTGAAAAAGCAAACTAGGAAGTGAAAACTCTATGTCTAAAAATAAAAATCAACTACAGAGTGGAAACCCTATGTTGGAAAAGAGACTGAGGAGTGGAGACCTTATGTCTAAAATAACTTTTACTAGGGCGTGGAGACCCTATGTTAGAAAAGACACTAGGGAGTGGAGACCCCATATCTAAAATAAAATTAACTAGGAAGTGGAGACCCAATGTTGGAAAAGAGACTAGGGGGTGGAGATCTTATGTCTAAAATAAAATCAACTAGAGAGTGAAGACCCTATGTTGGAAAAGAGACTAGGGAGTGGAGACCCTATGTCTAAAAATAAAATCAACTAGGAAGTGCAGACCCTATGTTGAAAAAGAGACTAAGGAGTGGAGACCCTATGTCTAAAATAAAATCAACTAGGGAATGGAGACCCTATGTTGGAAAAGCGACTAGGGAGTGGAGACCTTATATCTAAAATAACTTCAACTAGGGAGTGAAGACCCTATGTTGGAAAATAGACTAGGGAGTGGAGATCCTATGTATATAAATAAAAATCAACTAGGGACTGGAGACCCTATGTTGGAAAAGAGACTAGGGAGTGGAGACTCTATGTCTAAAAATAAAAATCAACTAGAGAGTGGAGACCATATGTCTAAAGAACTTTAAGTAGGGAGTGGAGACCCTATGTTTAAAGAACTTCAAGTAGGGAGTGAAGACCCTATGTTGGAAAATAGACTAGGAAGTGGAGACTCTATGTCCAAAAGAACAGCAACTAGGGAGTGGAGACCCTATATTGGAAAAGAGACTAGGGAGTGGAGCCCCTATGTCTAAATAAAATCAACTAGGGAGTAGAGATCCTGTGTTGGAAAAAAGACTAGGGAGTGGAGACTTTATGTCTAAAATAACTTCAACTAGGGAGTGGAGATCCTATGTTGGAAAAGAGACTAGGGAGTGGAGTCCCTATGTCTAAAATAACTTCAACTAGGGAGTGAACACCCTATGTTGGAAAAGAGATTAGGGAATGGAGACCCTATGTCTAAAATAACTTCAAATGGGGAGTGGAGACCCTATGTTAGAAAAGAGACTAGGGAGTGGAGACCCTATGTCTAAAATAAAAATTAACTATATGGAGTGAAGACCCTATGTTGGAAAAGAGACTAGGGAGTGGAGACCTTATGTCTAAAATAAAATCAACTTGGAAGTAGAGACCCAATGTTGGAAAAGAGACTAGGGGTGGAGACCCTATGCTTAAAATAAAATTAACTAAAGAGCGGAGACTCTATGTTGGAAAAGAGACTAGGGAGTGGAGACCATGTGTCTAAAATTAAAATCAACTAGGGAGTGGAGACTCTATGTCGGAAAAAAAGACTAGGGAGTGCAGACCTTATGGCTGAAATAACGTCAACTAAGGAGTGGAGACCCTATGTTGGAAATCGCAGCTAGGGAGTGGAGACCCTATGTTGGAAATCGCAGCTAGGGAGTGGAGACCCATGCTACCATGATTTGGAACTTTCTCTTCTTTTTCTTTTTTTAAAATTTAGAGGATGAGTAAAAATGTGGGAAAGAAATTGAAGAAGACCTCCCTTTTGGAGTTGTTGCTACTGCAGAGCTGTTTCTAGCTCCCGCGCGATTTTTTGTTTTGTTTCACTTGCTTCTTACAAGGTTGCTTTTGGATTGCACATGTTTCCTGTTTTTCAAACAAAGAAAAATTGTTAGTTTGAAACGGTGGTTGATTTTGTGGCCTTGTGTGTTTCAGTCACTTGATCTTGGTCCATCTTTTTTTATGATAATTTCAAACTGCCACTAGTTGTTTCCTGAATACCACTTGCATTTCTGGCCCAGAGAATCTTTGACTTTTCAAACTTGTACATGACTGTTGGTCACGTGGGACTTAACCTTTTCAACTTTATTTTGCCTTTGTGGCATTTCACTTTCGACTTCTTTCTTCCAAAGCTTTCAATTTTAGATCATTGGGGAACCTTTGGCTTTTCACACTTTGCCATGACAATTAGTCGCGTGGGACTTAACCCTTTCAACTTTATTTTGCCCTTATAGGCACTTCCTTTTGATTTCCTTCTTCCAATTTTTTCAATTTTAAAGCATCGGCCAATCATGGCCAGTCGAGGTCGATTCAATATCCTTGCCGAGGCTGGGCGCCATTTGAATATATCAGCTTGCTTCAAACGGGAACCCTGTAAATCGGTTTTTTCGTCCTTTATTTGTCTTATTTTGGAACAAAGTTAGACAGAACGGGATTGAAAAAAAAACTCACAATGGAGTAGAAAAAATGAGTTTAAAACAAGAGGTGTCCCCTTCGGGGAACAGAAAGACGGACTTATCTGGGAGTACATGCGGACTTCAATGAACATGACATGCCTTTTGGACTGGATGCATGATTTGTGTAAACCATCCGACTCTCCGATGGCGAGAACCGAGAAAACTTGCCCAGGACTGTGTCAATGCCAATGGCTATGAGGATCCTCTTTTTCGATCAATGGTGCCCTTTGCGGGTTCTCACCAGCTGACATCTCTCATTTCTCTTCTCACCATCGCCTTATAGTGCTCTTTGCGAGTTTTCACCAACAAGACTCTCTCGTTTTTAATTTTTTCTGCTCGTCATCGCCCTATGGTGCCTGTGAGGGTTTTCACCAATAAGACTCTCATTTTATTTCTCTCATTTTGGTTGCATCAATCCAAGTGACTGTATCCTCCAATTCTTGAACATTCTCGTCGATTGATCGGAAGGACTTGAAAAGGATTTGAGTAAAAAAAATTGGATTGAATTATAACTTTGGAACCTTTCATGTGAAACCATCGCCTAACCATTATAACATCTGCCCCGGTTTAAACTTTTGAAGGAATATGGATTTTGGTTTTGGTGTGACTGAACCCCAGAGAGAGACTGTCTACGTATCCTTTCGGAATCAAGTCGAACGTAGTTCAATCACATGAACTCTTTTGATTTTTGTCTTATTTTTCTTTTATTTTGTTTTGTTTTCTCTTTCTTTTCTTTTTCCTTTTTTTCATTTTCTTTTTGTCTTTTTCTTTCTTTCTTTATTTTTTTTCAGTAACACTTTTAGGTTCCAAATAGGGTAAGCAAAGGAAGGTAACAGGTTCAAAAAGGTTAGCAAAAGGGTTAATGATGTTTGGATAGCGAGAATAAAAGTTTTCGTCATCCCAATCAGAGAACATTAATGCTACATAGAAGGTCAAACGAAGTACCTTTTGACTGCATCTGTATTGAGAGTTGTCTCGGGGACATTTTCAATACCTCCCAAATACAATGCTCCATTTGGCAAAAACTCTTGTTAAAATTTATGGACCTTTCCAATTTGGAGCCAATTCTCCTTTAGCTTCTTCGTGATGCGGGAGCATACGTCTCAGAACGAGTTGTCCCACTTTAAATTTTCTGGGCCGCACTTTCTTGTTGTAGGCATGGGCCATTCTTTGTTGGTATAATTGCCCATGACAAACTGCGGCCAATTGCTTTTCATCAATCAAAGTTAATTGTTCCAACCGAGTCTTGACCCATTTTTCATCCTCAATCTCGGCTTCGACAATGACCCGAAGAGAGGGAATTTCAACTTCTGCAGGTTTCAATCGGGCTTGGCTTAGGCTTATTCTCATATTGTTCTGATTCTTTGTTTTATTTCTTTAACCTTATCTTTATTACATTCTGCTTCTTGATTCATTATTTCGAAGTCTGATAACGTTTTAGGATCTGGGCATGAAGTTCGCAAGCATATCATGTTATTAAAATCTGCATGAATATAACTAAAAAAAAGAATAAGAAAAGTGATAAGATTAAGAAAAGAGACATTCCTGGACAATAAAATATTATTTCATTTGATTTTTTTCTTAAAAAATTTATATATAGAAGGGTTTACATCAGAAAGTAAGACAATAAAAGTAAACATCTGTATTAGACCCTGAAATAATCCGGACGCAGAAAGAATAGCAAGACCGGCTACCGAGACTCACATCTAACAGGGGACTTTTAGATTTGGCGACCGTTTTTTGGCTTTTCTTCTGTCTCGGCAATGGCGGCAATAGAGGATCAAATTCCCCATCATCCAAGATTATTCCAACTACTGGCCCATTGGTGTGAGTAGGCAGAAGATTGTTCGTCATATTATGGGCCTTTTCATCCCTAAGAATTATTGCCTTGACCTCGATGAGGTCTTCCACTGCTTTTTTAAGAGTCCAACAGTCTTCGGTATTATGTCCCACTGCTCCAGAGTGGTATTCACATCTAGCATTAGCCCAGTGCGAGGGGGACTCGGGGTTTGGCCAGTTCGAGGCCACTGGCTGCAGCAAACCTAGCTTGACTAGCTTTTGGAACAAGCTCGAGTATGATTCACCAATAAAGGTGAACTGATTCCTTCTGGGAGACTCTCTTGGGCGAGGATTGTATTGGGAAATATTTAGTTGGGGATTATATAGAGCTTGGTAGGGATGAGCATTTCTGGGAGGTAGAGTTCGATTTTGTGTATAATGTTGTGGCCGCGTGTAAGGTTGCGCGTTCATCACCGCATTGGGAGGCAGTGCCACGGTATAAGCAGCATCTTGATGGGGATAATAGTGTTGCGGGGCCTTAGGAAGCATATATGATTGGTTGAATAACCTACGGGCCCTCTCGAGCTCGAAACCATCATGACCCCCCCTTCCCTCATGTTTCTGATCATCAAACCCCCCGAACCATTCTGAACGGTCTGTGATGTGGCCTTAAGGGCAGCATGACTTAAGATTCGGTCCATTTTAAAACCATTTTCGACCATCGCCCCAATTTTGATAGCCTTAGCGAATGACTTACCCATAGCGGACATCATGTTCTGAAAGTATTCGCCTCTTGGGCCTTTAGGATGACCGTAACCATTTCTGCTTCGTCCATTAGAGGCTTTACCCTGGTGGCTTGCTCGCGCCATTTGACAGCATATTCACAAAAACTTTCTGCGTTTTTTTTTTCAAATTGGACAAAGAGTTCTCTTTTTGGATTTTTTTCACTCATGCTTTGCCTACGTATCATGACATCGCATGAATCAGATCTTGCGTAGTTCGGGAGAAGATCAGGAATAAAGTAAATAAACTAACTATTTTTCCTTTACTGATATACAAAACAAACCACGAAAGCTTCTAACAAGGAAAATATTTTTGAATTTTGAATTTTATTTTATTTTTTTTTCGGGGGAAATTTTTGAAAGGAAAACTTTTTTAAGAATAAAGAAAATATTTTTGGATTTTGATTTTTGTTTTTATGTTTTTGTTTTTGGGAATTTCGAAAGAAGGACTTCTAAAGAAGTAAGAAAATAATTTTGGCTTTTTCTTTTTTTTCTTTTTGGTAATTTTAGAAAGAAAGAAAATATTTTTTGGATTTTGATTTTTATTTTTGAATTTTGGGAGAACGACTTCTATAAAAAAAAAAAGAATTCTTTGTTTTTGGAATTTTGAATTTTACGTCTCAAAGAAAGACTTCTAAAGAAGGAACTAACGAAAAATATATTTTTTTGGATTTTATAAATTGGGGGCCGGAACCGATGAGGTTTGCCTACGTATCTTACATCCAGTAAGTATCAGACCCACGTAGTTTGGTTAAAATAAATAAATAAATAAATATTTTAAAATTATGATTTTACGTATTAGAACCCTTCAAAATGTTTTTTTTAAAAAAAATAAAAAAAATGGGAACTTTTTGAAACCGTGGAGGAAAATTTCTCTCTCTCTCTCTCTCTCCTATGTTCAATTAATCTATCCTAAAGTCGGTCAACATTTGAGTAAAGCCTACCAAATAATGTTACATATAGTACAGAAAAATGAATATGTTGGTCTGAAAAATTAGTATATGTCCTAGACGGGCACGACCCCTGTGCCGAGTCCCGCTAGGTCCAATGCACATGATGTAAATAAAGGGTAGCCTACTAGGGATTTTCATTGCTTGTGGCTTGTTCTTCTTAGTTTTCAAATCCTAAAGGAGATGGTATCTAGACCTAGCTTACCCGGCGGACAACCCGAGCTGATGAGCGCGAAGCGTCACTAGTAGTAGAACAACACTGGCTAGCTAACGGCTCTCCCGCCTAAACATGTGCGACTAAATCCTTCACCAGAAGCTAGTAGGCTAACTGGCTTTATCTCAAGACAGATATTTTGTGATGCTGGTAGGCAAACACAACATAATTAACTATCAGAAGACTAAGAGGGGTGCGAGAGAGGATATAATTTATATCACAATTCAAATAAATATTAAAGCGGTAAATAAGCGACAAATAGCACATTAGGCTTCCAAACACAATAATATCCAAAACATGATAAAAGTCAAACAAGAATCAATATACAAAACTCGAATTCTTATTAGAATTTCCCATCAGAATCGCCAGAGCTGTCACACCTCTTTTTTCCGAAGAATAGGAAGTTTTTTTCCAATTAAAGTGATATTATTCGAAATAAAATTATTTATTTAATTAGAGTCGCCACTTGAAATAATTATTATGGTGTCCCAAGTCACCGGTTTATTTTAAAATCCCAAATCGAGGAAAATTGACTCCATTTATGGTCTGCGAATACAGGAGACCGGATAAGAAATTCTGTTAATCCGAGAGAAGGTGTGAGGCACTCCCGAGTTCCGTGATTTTAGTACGGTCGCATAACAATTAATACTTGGCCTAATTATCTGATTTATTGCATATTTAAAACCTATTGTACATTTTTACTTTCTAATCGCTTTTTATTAATTATGTAAACGCTTTTAGTATTTATGAAATTTATTTGAACAAGTCGCGATGTTGCGCACTCGCTTGTTTTTGTACGTATTGCGAATCGCGCCATGTGAAACGCACTCGCGATTTACAACATGTTTATTTATTTATTTATTTATTTTTATTATTATTTGATGTTGGGGTCAAATCGCGTGAAACGCACACTTGAGTTTGGAATTATGTATTATGACTATGCCACAGGAACCGTACTCATAGTCACAATAATTTATTATTAACCATGCCTAAAATAACTACGCGAGTTCATGGGTCAATTAATGTTCCTAAATTGGAGATAACATGTGAAAGGTCATAGATTATGGAAAGAAGATTTGAGAAGACGTGCATCTTTGTTCTTAATGGGCTCATATTAACGTAATAGTTCGCAATCCTTTGATTTAAAGGCTAATCTTTCACTCAAATTTAAACTAGCTAGTGAGGTTTTGATTTTTGGCCTCATCTTTAACTAACAGCCTCTATGACTTAAGAATTCTGATTTTGGCCATTTTATTCTGTTATAAATGTGGCCTCTATTGTGTTTCAAAGCCATGGCCACTTAAGTTTTAAAACCTATTAATTCCTATGACTAAATGAGGAACAGTAATGTCAGCACTATAATCTTAATCATCAACAAATGAACATCAATTTTTATNACAAATGAACATCAATTTTTAGTCATGATTATTCACACAAAATTATCAAAAGAACAAGACAAATTTAATGATAAAATAAACACCTCAATGACATATGCTCAAATAGACAAAATATATCCAAACAGTGAAACATCCATAAGAAACCAACTCAAATTCATTTTGAATTCACTTGAAGAAATCGAAGGAAACAAAGTGAGGGATAGAATTGAACCTTATGAGAATTTAACAGAAAAGATCTTCATCCTTACATTTGAAAGTTGCTAGTACAGCAACAACGGGTACTCAAACCAAAGACACGATCGAAAACCTCGAAACGGAGACCTTGACGAACGGAGATGATGAAACTCCGGCGAAACGCCGGCAAGGCTGTGAACTAGCGGAAACACATTTACATGGCTTTGGGACTGATTTTAGGAGTTTAATGGAGAAGCCACAACTGCTGTGTTTTGCTAGATCTGCTGCTGCATTTTCTGCCATGTTTGGAGATACATTTTGGCTGAGTTTTAATGGAGTTCGAACAACAATTTTGCGGCTGTTTCACGTTGCAACGCAGCTGATTTTTGAGGCCGTTTTTTATTGCAGTTTTGGGCTGGGTTTTAGCTCCTTTTATGGGCAGATTTTTGAGGTTGTTTTAAAGTGATGCTTTCAGGTGGTATTAGGGTAAAATGACGTGAGTGATTTGGGGAAGTGGGAAGTGAGGTATTTATGAGGTGAGTGGATATAATTTTCTTAAGTAATACTTATAAAAGGTGAAATAAATGCTAAAATATATAGATTAAACTTAAAATATATTTACATACTAAAAACTGATGAAAAATTCAAACATGATAAAAAATTAGGTGCTCACACTACCAATATATTTTGCATATTTTATCTTATTTTGCTTAAAAAACAACAAACCGCTTTACAACAGTGTCATGTAAATTTAAGGTTACCAAAATACCAGCTTTGCTAAGCATCTAGCCTACAGCACGACCAGGCTAGAGCTTTGAAAAGTTAGAGCATAACCAAGAAAAAAATGGGGCCGGTGTTGTTTCCTTGTTGAAATAATAGTCAAAAGATTAAATTTAGTGTAAATAAAAGTGCAGCTACAGGTCAAAATACATAGGAGTATGCTCTTATTATAAGTTGTAATTAATATTTTACTCCAAAAAAATAAAAGCTACTAGGAGGGGTTCAGAGGAAGAGCAATATTATTAGCAAAAGTAAAACAGTCATGACTCTGCTTGTAAACAACAGAATAAATAATGTTGTTACTCAAATCCTGAAGTTAACAAACTAAATCCTAAAGTTAACGAAAAAAAAAAGAAAAAGCAAATTGTACAATCAAACTGCTGAGCTAAGACTCCCCAGAAGACATCGCACAACACTATTCCGCTCCTCAAAACTTGGACCATAAACTCCACTTATCTCAAATATTTCCCATTCTTTCTTTTCAATGTCATAGATCAACATGTTTAAATACCTGGTACATGGAATCAATACAATGTTTCCCTTAGGGTTGGAAGTGAATAGGAATTTACGACATGTATTTACTAAATGCTTGAACTGTGATGATAACTCAATTGTATGCTTCACCCATGTGTGAGTACATTCATTGGAAGTGAGAATTAAGTATATGTATTACTATAATAAATAACGAAACAATAATCTTTGTGAAACAGTAAACAGAAACAAAAAGTTAGCAGCAATTAGAAGTCGAAATAATATATAAAAAAAATAATTTCGGAATAAATCGAGCCCACTGAATATACAGTGTGTCCTTAAGAAAATTATTCCCCTCAAGTACCCTAGGTGCTGAAATATTATCCTTCTAAAATAGAACAATTTAACTCACCGGTGTATTGGTACTAAAAATCACGGTGTCAGCGAATCACTCAACAGTAGTAAATCATACTGAAATAGATTTGTGCAGAAGAAGAAGAAATCTTGAAGTTCAGAAAATTGGTAAGGAAAAATATGAGGAATCAAACGAATTTATAGCCAATGGAAGTATTGTTTCTGAAAGTCCACAACTCTTCAGAAAAGTCACTTAAAAGTGGGAGGGAAATTTAAATAAAAATTCAGGAAGAAAGCGAATCGGGTCGTGCACGGATCCGGTTCGAGTTGGATATTCAGCTAATTTAATTAATATTTTTTATTAAATAATTAAAGAAATTTTGTCCAAAAAGATTAATCAATCAATCTTTGACCAAATCCGAAGATGAAACCGAAGCCGAAACCGAGCCGAGCGAGCGACGGCGGCGCGAGGCTTGCCTTCTTCTTAGCTCTTTAAGAGCTAGAAGAAAAGCAGTTTCTTATATATCTATCAAAAAAATTTCTTCCTCCAATATGGGACAATGTCCCTTTGACAAGGAGGGAAATTCAAATATTTTATTTTTCCTCCATTTCCCATTCACTCTTTATTTTAAGCTAACCAAGCTTAAACCCAAATATCCCCCACGTGAATGGGGAATGGCTAGAAGACAAAGGAATGCATGGACGAGCGTGTGATTTACATGCAAGGATTAATTGCATCTGGATAAGTAGGTTTCTCTTTGAACTTTCCGTAGTGAACTTATATCAAATATACTCGGTCAATCGGTAGATTTGATATCTTTGAACCGTCGAGCTTTGTTGTATACCTAGACAACATAAGTCACACAGTCAACCCTTAACCATCTATGGTTCTCACAGTTGTGTTCGTTTCAGCCATGAACATCGCCTGGTTTCATGAGTGCTTAGAGAATGGGCCTTTACTTTCATTCCCCTTGAAACGACTTACACTTATACTCACATAGGTGATTTCTAAACGTGTAATCCTATAGACAAACTATATGGGCATATCCTGTCAGACTTAGCAAATCATTAAAAAGTTTTAAGCTTTATTGACTCATCAAAGAGCCTTAATGCTTTACCTCGATTTCTGAACATTGTCTTCATCACGAGAATGGGTTGAGTTATTTGACAATGTTGAACTGTCATTCATAACTTTGTTTGATCTCTTTGAACCTAACTCTTGGGATCTCCAGTCTGCTAGGTAGAGTTACCGCCATGATGACTTGTCCTAGGCCTTAACCCCATTCCCTTTGATGATCTTTCAATTGCCTCTCTAGATAGGCCTTTTGTAAGTGGATCTGACACGTTGTCTCTTGACTTTATATAGTCAATAGTGATAATACCACTAGAGAATAGTTGTCTAATGGTATTATATCTCCGTCGTATGTGACGAGATTTTTTGTTATACATAACACTCCTTGCCCTGCCTATTGCCGCTTGACTATCACAATGTATACATATAGGTGTCAAAGGTTTGGGCCATAATGGAATGTCTTCCAAGAAATTTCGAAGCCATTCAGCTTCTTCATCGGCCTTATCTAAAGCTATGAATTCAGATTCCATTGTAGAGCGGGCGATGCACGTTTGTTTGGATAATTTCTAAGACACTGCTTCACCCCCAATTGTGAAAACATATCCACTCGTGGATTTAACTTCAGATGATCCGGTGATCCAATTTGCATCATTATATCCCTCAATCGCGGAAGGATATTTGTTATAATGCAAAGCGTAATTTTGGGTATGTTTCAGATACCCCAAGACTCGTTTCATTGCCATCCAATATATTTGATTGGGATTACTTGTAAACCGACTCAGTTTTCTAATAGTGCATACTATATCTTGTCGCGTACAATTCATAATATACATCAAACTTCCCAATACTCTTGCATAGTCCAGTTGTGAGTCACTTTCACCTTTATTCTTTTGAAGTGCATAACTCACGTCAATTGGAGTCTTGGCAATCTTGAAATCCAATTACTTGAAGTTGTCAAGTACTTTTTCAATGTAGTGAGATTGTGATAATGCTAGACCTTATGGAGTCTTATGAATTCTAATTAATAAGATCACATCAGTAACTCTTAAGTCTTTCATGTCGAATTTGCTAGCCAACATGCGCTTAGTACCATTGATATCTGCCATATTTTTGCTCATTATCAACATATCATCAACACATAAACAAACAACGACTTCATGACCTGGAGTATTTTTAATGTAAACACATTTGTCACACTCATTGATTTTAAACCCACTTGCTAATATTGTTTGGTCAAATTTGGCATGCCATTGTTTGGGTGCTTGTTTTAGTCCATAAAGCAACTTAGTTAGTTATGCACACTTTCTTTTCTTTACCCGGAATAACAAAACCCTCAGGTTATTCCATGTAAATCTCTTCCTCCAATTCTCCATTTAAGAAAGTTGTTTGAACATCCATTTGATGGATTTCAAGACCATACACGACCGCCAGTGCCACTAACACCCTAATAGATGTTATCCTCGTTACTGGCGAGTAAGTGTCAAAGTAATCAAGGCCTTCCTTTTGTCTATAACCTTTGACAACAAGTCTTGCCTTATATTTATCAATAGTGCCATCGGCTTTCATTTTTCGTTTAAAGATCCATTTCGAACCTAAAGACTTATTTCTTGGAGGAAGATCAACCAATTCCCATGTATGGTTATCCAAAATTGATTGAATCTCACTATTGACTGCCTCTTTCCAAAATACTGAATCAGAAGATGATATAGGTGCTTTGAACGTTTGAGGCTCATTTTCAAGCAAGAATGTCACAAAATCGGATCCAAAGGAAGTAGATGTTCTTTGACGTTTACTACGCCTTGGATATTCATTACTTGGAGGATTTTTCTTTGGTTCTTCCCGTGGTCGTTTAGCTCTTTCACTTAACGACTCGCATTCAGTTTTATACGGATAGATGCTTTCAAAGAATTTAGCATTATCTGATTCAATTACCGTATTAACATGAATTTTGGGATTATCAGATTTATGAACCAAAAACCGTCATGCTTTACTGTTTGTAGCATATCCAATGAAAACTCAATCCACAGTTTTTGGTCCGATTTTTACCCTTTGGGGTAAAGGTACTTGTACCTTTGCTAAACACTCCCACAATTTGAAATATTTTAAGTTAGGTTTTTTCCCTTTCCATTTTTCATATGGAATAGATTGCATTTTGTTATGGGGTACTCTGTTGAGTATTCGGTTAGCTGTAAGGATAGCTTCCCCCCACAAACTGTAAGCCCCCGTAAAATTTCGCAAAGGAAAAAAATAATATTTCGTGGTGCCGAATTGGTTTTTACGTGTTGAGGATTATGCGGCTCAGACTTTTTGGGCTGAACAATGCACTGGAGAGTAAAGGAAAAATTTAGGCAGAAAAATGCCCTTTTGCGGCCCACTATGCGGCCGCAGAATCACTCTACGGACCGCATAATAGTCGCAAAGTGAGGCAGGGAAGGGCAGTTTTGGAGACCAGGTTATGCGACCACAGACCAATTTTGCGGTGCATTATGCGACCGCAGAACAGGTCTGCGGGCCGCATAATGACCGCAGACCAGGTCAGTCACACCCAGTTTTGGAGGCCAAATTATGCGGCCAATATACGGACCGCATATTAATTATGCGATCACAGACCTTGTTCTTCATTTTTGGGTTTTTACAACCCGACCCAACTTTGTTAAATAGGCGATTTGTACCATTTTTGAAAAAAAAATATATTTTAGAGTGAGAGAGAGTGCCCTAGAGTGAGAATGTGTTCCTCAATAATTGTTCTTCAATTCTTGCTCAAATCTTGAAAGATTAAGAAGGA